CCCCTGCTCTATTGCTTCCCCAGTGAGAGTGAGGCTGGGTGCTGGACCAACCCAGTCTTGTAGTAACATATACATATATATATATATACATATGTATATAACATCGGTTTGAGAACAAGCTTGGTGCCAACACCAAAACAATATTAACAATACCAATAACGTGGAGGGGGGGTTAGGATACAGAGTATAGGGAAAAAACGTAACTGTTAGAACGGAAGATTACGAATAAATGGAATAACAATTTTTTTGTTTCACCGTACACATTTTGATATTTTCTATGTTCTTTGATGTTTTTACGGGGCACGGGATTTCGACAGGCAAACCGTACAGCATTCGCGCCACTGACTTCTATTCTGGGCCATATCTCTCAGCGTTTCGAACTAACGACAGTCCTCATCTCTTGGGTCCCAACCTGGAAGGCGGGCTACACCAACAGAAGTCAAAGCTGAAGCTAGCTTCTAAACACCTCTATGCCATGTCATGGTCTGACCTCCGCGGCGCTTCTCCCAGCTTTGCTCGGCACGTGCAAAGGGAGCACAGGAAGGTAGTCGATGGGCAGGCATACGCAAAATGTGACCAAGCCATCGGAGGTGGTGTAGAGCGATTACATCTGTTAGAGGACGACTATCCACACCAAAAACACGACAACGGACCTCACCGTTGCTCACCCAAGTGGTCTCCAAAAGCCTCAGTAGGGTCCGGGGAGGGTTTCTTGGGTTGCTGATAACCCTTCTCTTGCATCTCATGAAATGCTCTTATAAGACCAAGTGTTTCACACAGCCTCTGTTGAGGAAGCGCTATTCAATACCTTCACGGGATGGAGGCTTTCTCCTAAAAAATGAGAGAACTTAATGCTAGGATCCGGGGATCAAACCGGGTCGATGAACCACTGGTATTTCACCTAGGGAGGTGGATACAAACCCTGATTCTAAACCGACCAAGAGGTGTGCGAATTACACACGATTAGGTATGAAGGTGTATTGGGTATTTTTGACGTCTGATCCCGTCCAATGAGTGTATGATCCGATGAACTAAACAACGGCCTCCAATGGATTGCGGTTTGAAAACATACAGCACTTCCACCTTGCTAATCAGGCTTTGGTTAGCCCAAGGCTCCTGTTGTGAATTGCCCATGAAGATTCACCTGTCTTTGTCTGAACAAGGTGGTCATATCGCACCCACAAGCAAATCATGGAATTCTTTTTTTATAGGGATTATTATTCTGTGATTTGTTTACCACAGTCTGGACACAAATGAGAGACATTTCTATACTTCCTAAGTGTACGACATGATACAAAATGATTTTCTGCTAAAATAACTAGCTCACCATATCTACCGTTGATTAATAGCTACTTCACAACCGAATTTCTGATAGCAATTAAAACAGCAGAAGCGGCACACGAACTTTTGATCGGGAATTAGCATAAACGAAATTCAAAAATCAAAATTCAAGTTCGAGTGACATATCGATCAATAAAAATAAAAGATGGTGGTACAGACAGAACCGAGTTACACACGGTGAAACTTACGAGTTCTGATCCAGGGATTCTTTCTCCACTATAACCTGATACAAATCCGCCTCGGCCCGTGTGTTCTCTGCATTCGGTATGAGAAATCGCCGTAGAAAAGTCATCAGTGCGGCAGTGGCCACAGATGTCAGATGCGACAGACATCCATCTGAAAAGCGAACGGGATAGATAGAAGAGCTGCCATTTGATCGAGGCGACATTTGCATTTAGGCGCTAAACTTATCAACGAACTGGTACATGTCAGAATAATACTCGTAAGAATCGAGTGGCACAATGAGAAGGTGAAGAAATAGAACAAAACAAATACGAGTGGACAGCATAAGATTACAAAGCATTAAGCTATCCTCAAGTCTACAACCAGCGGAGCTGGCCCGGAGGATGTCTGGGTCGAGGAGAAAGGCCACTTAGGTAAGTAACCGTGAATAGGTAAACAATGCTTTATTGAACAGGCGGCTGAGGATAATTAGCGACGATGTCCGAGGACGTTTTCACTTGGCAAGCGATCTCTGCAACACTAACTTCTGCAAAAGAGCGTCGCGTCGTGTGTGAATCAGACCTGACACAGTTATCACTTTGTTGCCTTACTGGTGACATTCGTCTGTGTGGGGCCTAAAGGTGGTTCGTCAAAGAAAAAGACCGAATGGTACTCTCAAGGTTCTTCATGAACCCCGTGGATAACAACCTCAACTGATTAACCGCGGAGCGGACAGAGGGAAGCAGACACTGAGATGACTTAGACGAAAAACCGATTTTCCACCCAACATGACTACGGAAAAGTGATATTTCTAGCAACGGACAACAATCATTGCTGCAGTACACAGTGACAATAAATGTGTTCAATAAACAGGTCGGAAAACGTCCGGTGATTGCCGAGAAGGAGAGATTTTTCAGCGCCAGAGACTTGACGGATTTTCTCAAATTGGCAATACATGTATCTGATGTTCTATGACGATAAAACATAGATATCTGTATTTTTCACTAAGCGTATTCGCACATACACCCAACCTCTGTTGGTATTCTGGGTGACAGGCGCAATCCGAAATTAATACCGACGAAATCGAAATTAGGAAAAAGATGAAAAATCAAACCGTAGAAGCATACAGAAGAGATAAAAAGATGTAAAAGATTAGCTGATTTGTTTGAATAAGCGAATCAATTAACTGATGGTTTGACTGATTGACGATCAACCAAGCAGAGAGACAAACACATCTGTTGGTATCTATATGGTGTAGTGAAACGCCTTTTACTTCTTCCTTTCAGCCGAGCAATAAAACGTTCGGAGTCTGAGACAACATACACTCAACTTGGAGTGCTAGCTCCTATTTTTCTTTACTCCACAGAGAAGTTACAATGGGAGGAAATTCAACGATTGAACCACAGAACATCGCTCATCACAAAACTACGCGCAGCTCGTATGTGGATCAGTATTCACAATCTATTAAACTCAAATCACACGGCACAGTCCCGTGCACACATTGTTCACCATCGAATCTATGAGTATTGTAGTTTTGCAATCGTTGAAGACGTCTTGAAAACCTTACTCCTGAACATTTTTCTTTCTATCAGGATCAATTGGTACACATAAAATAAGGTCTGAGGCAGATCATTCAACTTTGATTGGACCCGATAAGGCACAATTCACTTTGATAACCATGAGGCCAGTTATTGCCCCAAATACATTTAGCCTCAAACTCTGGGGTTACGAACTGCCCGAAAACAATCCAGATTTTATTAAGTTCACGGAAAAGATGGCGCACTTGTTGACCATTTTGAAACTAGGTCATCATGTGCATGACTTTATCCTTCAGTCCGTGTCATAAGGAAATCACTTTAACCATTTTTTGGCTAAAATGCTACACATGCTGCCATTCTTATTCGTCAACATTTCAAGTTCTATGCGTCCATAATCACCATCATAAGGAGAACACAAATTGGCAAACAAGCTTGTTTGAAGTGTGTCTTACTGATACCATTACATCGTCATATGTTTATTTTAGCAAAGTGTTCTTTGGCAAACCTGGACGGCAGAGATTTGAAATGGGACCTGGAGGAATGGTACGACAAATCTAGATAGTAATTCGAGCCACTTAGATTCCACCTCTCCAAAGAAGTCTATCTGCCGTTAAATGCATCGTTTCCATATTTTAGAGTACTTTCTCATTCGAACGAGCCGCCAAATGTGTCTGTATGGTCGGGAATGGATGTCTCGGGCTCCGAAATGACCATTCGTCCCGAACTCCTCTAGAAATGCTCCCAAAGTACCAAGCGCCCCAAATAGCTTCTGCTGAAGGTGTTTACACTAAAGTAGGAGGGCAAAGGTGAATGCATCGCGCTTTCCATCGGGTTGACTGACCACTGGTAACCAGTCTAGAGGAGTTGGCTAAATCCTGATTCCAAACCACCCACACCTGGGGTAAGAAGCTCAAAGTGGCACCAATCTTCGGCGCAACCGAACCGGTCTCCGGAGTTGACCACCGTGATGCTCACCGGCAAGTGCGCCACTCAACGGCAACCGAGTACCCTGGATAGTTGGCCGCATCCGAAAGGCGGATGAACTGGTCCCACAGTCACCGGCTCCCAGAGGATCGTGGGCTCCCTACTCCATCCCACTGCCTTGTGGATCAGGTTCTCCAACCAAAGGCTCCGGGTAGAGTCCCCAAAAGACCTTTACCTCGGCCTGGGAAACCGGATAGAACCACGCCCACAAACTAACCATGGACTTACGAACATGCNNNTTTACGCATGTCACAGAATATTACACCTCTGCAAAGCTTTCTCTTAGAATCTGCACGCAGCACTTCCACCCCCACCCCCACCCCCCAACACACACACACAAAAGCCTCAAATGTCCCCTCTTTCTCAAACCCCGAACGGTTCCAATGACGCAGGTTCATGTTGTAGACCGCCGCTATTCCCTTTGACATCTGTCTCCGTACCGACCGTCTCATTCCTCCGACTTCACTCTGCGTTCAAACTGGTTTCATTCAACGTTGGAAAACTAATGCGTATAGGACAACAAGCAGGTTTGGTTCGTACGCTCGAAAGTCTAGAGATTGATGTGTGTTGCCTCTCGGAAACACGCATCCCTGGTCACTATCCACGGGTCCGCCCACAGAAGCGGAGATCAGAAAGGAACTCCAAGCCTTGAAACGCCACAAGGCAGCTGGATCAGACGGCCTGCCACCTGCCCTCTTTAAAGATGGTGGAGAAGTTCTCGCAAGAGAACTTGTGAGATTGTTCTCGGAAATCTGGAAAACTGAAAGTGTACCCCACGCATGGGGAGAATCGATTGTCACACCCATCTACAAGAAGGGCTGTCGCAACGCCCGTTCCAACCGCAGAAGCGGTTCCAATAGCACCGAATCTGCTGGCGTCCGTTTTATCACGCAGATTATGCCCTTTCCGTGAGAAGCAAATC